TAAATATACACATTTGCAAATATATTGCAAAAACATAATTTATATTATATATTTTTTCTTCATAAATCCAAGAAAATTTGGTTTATTACTACAGACAAATGACTATGGTTAAACATAAGGAAAAAAAATTATTTCCTTTAAATAATATGTGGAAATAACCAATCTTAGCCTGATGAAGGTCACAAGATCCGAAACTGGTGTAGCAAAAAATAAACAGTAATGTATAATATATATATTTAAATAAATTCACATTGTAACCACTATAAACTCCCATTTATGTATATATATATATATATATATATATATATATATATATATATATATATATATATATATATAAAACATTAGGCAGCATATGATTTACATACAAAAGAATATTCACATATATATATATATATATATATTTACATACAAAAGAATAATCACATAGAATTAATCAAGTATCAATGCGATTATTGGCGACATCCATCGCTAGAAAACATAATATATGCATTAAAATCCTGTTCATCCATAGTGCGAGTTTTGATCCTTGAAGAAAACTTGTTGTCTGTAGTTTTTCAGTTATTTGATGTTAAAATGCTAGTACTTACGGACAGTCTTCCATCCATCATCAGGCATGAATTTTTTTCCTTATAAAATCAAAAACTTGAGACGATATACCTGTATGTCGACCGAAAGATGTTTTTTGAATATCTGCTATTATTGACGGTTGTAAGATATCGGAACGTGCAAAGACGCAACGCTAAGTTTTTCAAAATGTTTTCTAGCGATGGATGTCGCCAATAATCGCATTGATACTTCTGATTAATTCTATGTGTGATTATTCTTTTGTATGTAAATATATATATATATATATATATATATATATATATATATAGTTTTTTCAACATTCTTACATGTTTTCCTCTCCTTTGAGCCTGAGGGATTACAAAACTGCCCATATCCTCCATTGTCCTGAGCGCTTTTGGCCACTTCCATACCAATATTCCGGTCGGCTTGTTTTTTTTTGGGGGGGGGCATTTTTAGTTTCTTTTTATATTTTGATTGTTTGACATGTATTATTTGTGTGTTTTTGAATTCTAGTAGGAGCGTTAATTTCAAGCCATTGCGTGTTGTGCATGCTTAAATTTCGACTGGGAGACTTTATGTTTCCCTCCAAACAGAAAAATGTTAGAAAGTTAGGAAAAGTGAATAAAAAAAATATTAAAATTTTCCTTCGCCGCCATATTTAACGAAAGATGTTTAAAAGAATGTTTGCTGCCAAAATACATTAATCGCAAAATATACACAATGGATATTTAAGAACGTAAATCGAATGTTTTTTTATTAATTTGTTTGTTTTCTGGCAAATTAAAATAACCCTTGGTCAGGTAATCGTAAGTAATTACGCACCATTTGATCCTCGTGTTTTCCATATAACACTGTAAGCGTAAGCCCAGGTATCTGGCTATGACCAGTGCTCATAGCTTCGGTCGAAATTAAAGCCAGCGTTTTACGAGCTGATTTTCAATGTAGGCGAAATCCTCGACTTTTCTAGGTACTTTTTTGAGCAACAATATCTTGTTTTCTTTAACACTTTTCCAACCACCGTTTCCCCAATATTATCTATTTTCTTGCCAGGATAAAAACACCTTAAGTAGGTATGTGTGAGTTTTTTTTTCTCATTCTTTTTTTCCCCAACTGATGCAAATACTGATGACTTTGTTATTCTCTATCATGTATAAACATTTGCAAATATATTGCTACACAATGGTATGCAAATGGATAATTAAGTCGCGACGTGTTTACACAGAGACAATTATTTTGTGAATAATTTTATATATTCTATGAATATCATATCTATCTTTTATAAGGCTCTTAACCGGAAAATTCAAGTAACCATTTCTAAACTTGCGGCGAATCTCAAGTCTGATTCTTGGAGGAAACTTTTCCGTTTGAACGTCAGGAAATGCACGTCACTTACAGTTTACATTCAAACTTTTGCTAGATTAATTCTCACGGGAAAAGATAGTTTTGAAAAAAAGTAAAAAAAAACCTTTCTAATGGCGAGAAAAATTAAACTTATTATCGAATATATTATGTCCCCATTTTCCTAACAACGCGGACATACCAATGCCAGACATGGCCACTAACAAAAAAAAAAAAACTTGAGAGGAAACTTATCACTTATGAGATGAAATGCCTGAGGAAAGCCAGAAAAGAGGCAATAAGCCATATAGTAAAAGCAATACCAATCATGCAACAAATCGAATGACTGAGGCTCAAGTAGTTCGGCCGCCTCACTCGTATGCCTATCAACCAACCAGCCCTACGAGCATACACCCTCTGACTGTAGAGCGAGAGGCTGACCAAGAAGAGGTTAGAGCGAGTCAGTGGCAGATACTCAGAGCCCACGAGTTATCTCTCCTCCAGGCCGCTCGCCTTGCCGCTTACAGACGACTGTATCTTCCCGCAACGTCTCACAGCACAAGCGGAACGAAAAACTAAAACTAAGTTTATGTCGTTACATAAGATATCTTAACATGAATTTTACGTGAAATTCAACGAGAATATTTTGATATTTCAGTTAGTCAATTATGTGCCATGCGTGATATACGCTTAGGCGAGTATGTATCTTTCGATTCATGACTGACGAGGCAGAATTTTCCCGCAGTAGGTTGCCACTTATTTCTGCGGTAGACCAGTTGACATCCAAGGCTAGAGAATCCGGTTTGTCCTGCTATTTAGCCATAGCTGGAGGAAGAAGAGGATTCATACATTTCCTAAGGTTATTAGTCCAACCCTTACCTCACAGTCGGTGGGGGGTGTAAACGGTAGTGTCAGAGCTATGCCATCCGGAACTTCGTTCCTGGTAGGGCCACCCAAGGCGGACAGGTCTGACACACACGCCGGCTAACAAGGGCTCTGGTGAAAATCCAAGGAGCGTCTGCATCGGCAACCGGCGGCTTCTGGTCGTTCCTGTCTCTGCGTCTGTGGGAACCCCGCGGCAAGCAAGAACGTTATCCGAGTAGGCCTGGGTACCCTACTTCTGTAATTTATCCCAAGAATCTTCTTCTCATAACAGGAAGAAGCCGGCTCAATCCGCCCAGGGTGAATGCCTCATTACACAAGGTTATTACCACGTAAGTTAATGCAATGGATCTGACTGGAATTTAGATATTTACTCATGGTTTTGTTCAACCAAACATTTGTCGCTAGGTTTGAAGCAACCTCAGAATTCCGTCCTCTCAGAATTTGGCAACTTTATTAGAAAGTAACTAGTCTAAGTGTTTTTTATATGCTTCCCTAGGATTTACGTTCCTTCCGTTAGGAGAATATTGTAGTGATAGAGATAAGTTGTAATCCGAAGGTGCAAATTCAGTTGAGTACCCTGCTTGTATTAGGACATCCCCGGACACCTGTATCAATTCCAGTTGATTTTTTCAAGAGTGATTAATTCTGGTGTTGCCCTGGTCGAAGAAGAAACCCTTCTGACTAGCTAATGTCAGTCATTTTCATATACTGCTGCATTGACTCAGTTAGAGTCAATCTGACACAATATATCAAACCACTCTTTAACAGTTCGATGCGTTGGTCATCCATCGAAATGAAGCCTCAGAATGTTTTTTTTCGTAGTCCCGACGATTACTGCTTTTATAAATTAATGGAGCATAAAAAAGCGAAAGAGCAAAATTTCATCCTCCATTTTTCTTTATTTTTTATTATGTGTCAAGTCCTTTTTAAACGTAGACGATTGCGGCTCTTCACCTCCCACTATACCTTGCAGCTCTCAACAAATTCCTTCCCTCTCCCACAGACCACGTTCACTCGTCCACCTGCTCAAGTCCGCCATGTATGTCATGCGCTGGTTTTCACTTGTCTCTCTTTCCCTCTATTCGAATTCTGAGTAACGGATTCTCAAGGCCCTCCTTCCTTCTTATACGTCTCAGAAACTTCAGCTACCTCTTCTTAATGTTAAGTATAAACCTCCTCCTTGTTTGCATCCCCTCTTAGACCTCATCATTGCTCACACACTTTGTCCATGATATCCTTGTTATCCTTCTGTAGATTCACATCGCCGTCGCCTCGAGTCTCTTCTTCATTCTTGAGGAAATCGTTCAGCATTCACTGCCATAAAGAAGAACAGATGTCACGTAACAGCTCAATATTCTTTTCTTTGTTACCAAAGAAATCCTCCTGTTTGGCAATACTCTGCACAGCTTTTGGAATGCGTCCTTGGCCATCCAAATACGTCTACGGATCTCAATGTCGCACTTACCGTCCTCTGTCAAGACGCTTCCCTGATATTTATACTTCCACGTCTGCTTGATTCAAGTGTTCCCGACCTGAAAATCGTATTTCGAGCTCATCCTCTTACTGATGACCATGAATTCTCTCTTCTTGTAGTTTGTGCTTAGTCACTTTTCCCTCTCCATAAATCATGTCTAAACTCCATCTTTAAGGAACTAATTTGTGGACAAAATCTCAACAAAGACTGACTCGCAAATGAACAGTGCAAGCTTTCATTCTAAATCACAACAGAAATCAGCATTAAAAAAAAAACGCCAGTGTCAAGTTGCAGTCAATTTATATTAACAATAAAAATCGGCTACGAACTTTTCCAATAGCAATTTTTATGGAGAGCTTTCCTATTTCGTACCGAGACTTCATAAATTTAAGCGTACTACAAGATTGGCATATAGTTCCCAACATTTTACTATTGGAATTATTAAATCTAATCGTAATTTCTATTCTAATAATTTCTTCCTTTGGTCAAATCGCCTATAGAACACTCATCGAAATGCTTGCTTTTCTTGTGAAAAGGAAGAACACAAAGTGAGTATTACAAATCGGAAATACCAAAATTAAACAAGTGCAGAAATTTAGATATCTAGGAAATGGTCTAACAGAAGACGGAAAGCGTGACACTGAAATCTGCCGGTGAATTGGGATATCCAATGAAGTATTCCAAACACGAAGCAGTGTACGAAGAAATAGAACAAGAACAAGGAAAAGAATACTAAACTTATATGAGAGTCACAGACAAAAAGTGAGAGGGAGTGAATGAAAAAAGTGTAAGAAAGGTGAGAGTGTGGTGTGAGGCATCCATAATCTGAGAGAGAGAGAGAGAGAGAGAGAGAGAGAGAAAGAGAGAGAGAGAGAGACCTATTGCTTGAATTCATCCAAAACGTACATCTGCATGTCGAATTTGCTGGAAGAAAACATATAAGTAATTATATTAAAATTATATAAGTAATATATAAGTAATTATATTAAAATTATAGCACATTTAGAATTCATCTTTGAAATATTAAATCGGGACAACGATTTCAACAAAACATTTATATAAATTCATAAAATTATGTTTAATATGATGAAGCAAAAATATTCAATTCTCTACACTATGTACAATGGAACAATTAAATATCAAAGGTGAAAAGTATCTCTTGCCAGACATCAAATATTCAGCATTCACTGACGGACCAGTTAGCTTAACGTTCAGTTGGAATGATATCTGTCTTCGGTGTATGGCAGTGAGTTAATATATCAATTGTTTTAGATATTATCCTCAGAGATGACAAAAGATTTGACGCAACAGAAATGTGGTTCGACAGAAGGATTCTGAGGATAACATGGACCAGAAATGGAGCAACGACGAAGTTGGGGAGAAAATGGAAACAAAATGGAAACGTATACTTAACACCCGGAAGAGACAGTTGAGGTTGCTGGGACATAATTTGTAAGGAAGGGATGGAAAATCTGATACTCACGGGACAGATAGTGGGTAAATGGAAAACAACGCGTAACATACTTAGTGAGTTTGTGTAAATGGATGGCGGAAGTGGGGCTAGGAGAAATAAATGACAAAGTTTATTAAGCGCTACAAGGGACATGAAGCTGTGGAGATGACTGCCTACGTCCCGAGGGCACACGGCACATCGAGTAGATGATCGTCAAAATATTTAAGACATCGAGCAATCCTCACCTAACTATTTTGATCTTGTTCTTTATTATTCGTTCTTCTCAGTAATGTTTTCACAGCTTCCTCATTTAATCTCTTGCGTTTTAGTAACTAATCTTGCTTGAGATGAAAGGATTAACAAATAAAAAATATGTAGCACAATGTTTTGGGGAAATTCTGGGGAATGATTTTAAAATTTAAATATAAGTTACCAGACAACTGGAGAAATTCATTTGTGAAGATCAACTAACATTTTACTAGGGGCATCACAGCAGATTCAATTTAGATTTTTGTCAATTGAATATTTTCTAAAAGAGCGTCATGTTCTCTAATCTAGTTCGCTCTTACCTCCTAGTATCCTTCGGTGTAGATTCTTATTAAATAATAAGAATTATTAGGTTGGTGCAAAAATAATGACGTAATAATGTCGGTTATTGACGTTAAAAAATACGGCAAAAAACGACATTATTACGTCATTATTTTTGCACCATCCTAATAATTGCTCTCAACAGTTTATTACAATACAGGCTGCATTCACGAAACAATTAAATGTCAAAGGCAAATATACTTCTTTTACTCATCCCACCGGCAAAAAAAAAAAAAAAAAAAAAACATTTCTAATGAAGGCAATAAAAGTGAAAAACAAAAAAAAAATGTTTTTTTTTTATTTGTCCTGATTATTTAATACGTGGGAATCCATGACTCCTCCTATTTTCCTGTCGTTTGTAGCAACGTTCTTCTTTTGCCACCCTCTCTATAAATGCCCTGTCATCCATTTATTCGTTTGTTTCTTTCTGTTGTACTTCAATTCAATGTGTCCTGTGAGTGTAAAATTTCTTAACCCTTTATTCCTCATTATGTGTCACTTCAATTTTAATTGACTCTAAATACAAGCCTCGCTGATGTCCCTATTTTCCTAAAAAATTACCCCGTAAAATATGCTCTGTCAGTGATATGCCAAAATCCTTCTATAAGCCCACATCTTTCTTGCCACAAATATTTTGATAATAATATATATTAATAGGCAAATATGCTGATGTCACTACAGAATGGAAAGCGGAAAGTCTATAAATCCAGTTAGAAAATAAGTATCGAAACTTTGTGAAATGAAAGCAATCTAGACTATGAACATCTAACAAACTATTAAAATAATGTGAGTTATCTTTGAGAAAAATATATAAAAAGAATTATAAAACAACTAAAACAATTGATATATTAAAGTTATTCACAGTTTCAGAAAAACAGTTAAGAACTTTGAATTTATAATGTTTCCATGTTGCATAAAATAAAACATCTAAGTTCACATTTGTTAAACTGTTCTGTATGCAACATTGATCATGTATTCTGTAGCCGCTCATAAAATTTAAAGTCGCATTTTGTATTCTAATATGTTCACTGAACATTATACCACTTGGGTTAAGCGGTAAAAAGCATCAATATGATTAAATTTATCTTGGTAATAATAATATTGATAATAATGGAAAGCTCTTCCCCACCAGAAAAGCTATTCGTGAAAAGAAATCTCTTGTGGCTTCTTCTACAACTTCTACGAAATTATTTTTTTCAATTCTAGGGGAAATCGTTACGTATCCAAATAATTGTCACTTTGTACGCATATCGTATATTATTTTCATTTAACCTCTACATAAGTGTCTCCTGAAACTTGTATTGTATCAAAATTAGTAATCGTACACACACACACACACACACACACTCACTCTCTCTCTCTCACACACACACACGCAGGCATATATATGAAGAAAAATATATACGGGAAAAACAAAACAAAAATTCTTATATACAGTTATGCTGTTTTAATGTTAATATGTCAACAGCATAATTGTATATAAGGATTTTTTTTTGCTTTTTCGAATATATTTTCTTCTTACAATCATATCTATATCCATATATTTGCTTATATATATATATATATATATATATATATATATATATATATATATATATATATATATATATATATATATGAACTTAATTGTCAGAGTTGAATAAGACCAGCGAAGAGTAGTATCAAAAAGTGCTCAATAGCCGTGAGAAAAAATATAAGTAAAAATAAAAACATGTAGAGATTTTAATCTTAAAAATCAGGAGGTCAATTAAAATACGCGAAAACGGTTTCGACTGACGGTCTCTTCGGGCGATATTTTCAAAAGTATCGCCCGAAGGGAACGTCAGGTCGATACTGTGGTTGCCTATTATAATTTAACTCCTGATTTTAATATGTATATATATATATATATATATATATATATATATATATATATATATACGTGTGTCTGTGTGTGTGGATCTTTCGGTCTACGAGGTGGTGTAATATTAAGAAGGATTTGCATATAATTAGTAATGTATTGTGAGTTCAATCATCACATATGCCAAAAGTAACCTAATTTATTACAGAATTATATATATATATATATATATATATATATATATATATATATATATGTGTGTGTGTGTGTGTGTGTGTGGATATCTACGTCTTATTAAGTGTAAGTACACATATGTGAATAGTGTCTCCGTGTTTCTAATCATTACCTGAGAAGCACTCGGTGGTGTTTCGACCATGCTGGATGATACGCCAAAGGCATAGAGAGAGAGAGAGAGAGAGAGAGAGAGAGAGAAATCAATTAGTTTTGTGTTGCAAAGAGAGACAGATAGTGTGATTGAAATATTAACTCCTTACAATACTACAAAATTAGATAGTTAATGTTAAAGAATAGGAAGAAAAAAAAAGGAGAAATATTAAAAATAGGGCAGAATGAAAATAAGCGAACTGGGACTAGAAATTCAAACGTGTGATCTGCAAAGATTGAGAATAACCCCAGGCTTCTTTGTCAGAATCTCTCGCTTGAGACAAAGAAACAGCGCCGTGGCTGAGAGGCTAATTTTTGGAGCTGTCAAGAGAGAAAAAAAATAGACTTCTTGAAAATATTGCCGACGAGGTGATGCGAATAAATTTCACGTTAAGTGCCACTTAAATTGGTGTGAGACAACGAGGCCGAAACCTCTCTTGGCACCTGCGGCTCTTTAGCGAGTGTCCGACATTTATCTTTTAACTATTTTTTTTAATTCTTTTTTTGATCCCACTCTCATGCTGCTTCTAACTTCTCCCTGATTCTCTGATTTTCATTTTGGATGGTGTATTGGCATCAGCAAGTTTGCCTATTAATATCTATCATTATCAAGTTCACCACACGTATCGGAAAAAAAAGTTGTCTCATTCTGTTAAAGTGATATATATTTCCCAATATAGCTCATGAAATCTCGCATACAACAGTCACACACAAAATATGCTGTAAAGTGCTTCTTTTCAACGCATCATGACGCCCCCTCCCCGAGAAAAATATATAAGGTAAATTAATGCGCCTCACTCAGAATCTCTTTTGAAATTCTTATTAATTTATTTAACACACACACACACACACACACACACACATACATATATATATATATACATATATATATATATATATATATATATATATATATAAATATATATATATATATATATATATATATATATATATATATATATATATATATATATATACCTATATATGTATATATATATATATATATATATATATATAAATATATATATATATATATATATATATATATATATACCTACATATATATATATATATATATATATATATATTTATATATATATATATATATATATATATATATATATATATATATATATATATATATATATATATATATATATATATATATATATGTATGTATGTCTTTCAAAAAGTAATTTTTAATGGATACACGTCTACCGGTCTGCACACTGGAGAAAATATGGTGTTACATAAGAGGTCCAGTTTTGTTAAAACGTAAAATGTGTACTTTTCTTTAGTAAGTTTTATCGAGTGCATAGGTGGGTAGACGTAATACGTCGTTAAAAATAAAAAGACAGTGCGTCTACATCAATCATGCATATTCTCTCTCTCTCTCTCTCTCTTTCTGATTATATAATTATTAATATATATATATATATATATATAGTGAGAGAGGGGGTTGTTGGAAAATATTGTCCCACCCTGACAAAAAGCAATGAGAACATCACAAGAACGCGTAATACAATAATACAAAGACGCACGTACTGGATTCAGTTTATTCATTTTCATTGACGCTATAACACACAGAGAAGGTCTGTATGAACACCATCATTTTTATTTACATTATTCGGACTATTGGCCTCATCTTTCTCGCTATATTTATCACATAAATACGGCGACAAAGATGAGGCCAATAGTCCGAATAATGTAAATAATATAAATAATGCCTCATCTCAGAAATATAGACAGACCATCATTTTTGTGGCACAAAATGATGCGGCTCCATGTCCTGTGTGATATTTTACGAATCTGTGCTTTGTTGATTGTTGCAATGGCTCTCCGAACTGATGAGTATTCTGGTACACTCTCGCCTCCCGTGTCTGACATCTGAGATAATAAAAAAAATATATATTATGTAGGTGTAACATTCAAACCACACTGTATGTTTTAACCAACGCTGCCTTCGATCTGTGCTTGAAATCCTCTGGATGATTCATACGCCTGATACTGTTGTTCTACAAAGGGACAATTCACTCTCTGTGGAAGCATTGAAACACCAGCACTGATTGCGATGGACGGGCTATGTTATCCGTATGGGGGATAACAGTATTCCAAAACAAATAATGTATGGAGAATTGGATATTGGGAAAAAGATCTCAGAACAAGCCAAAACTTCATTACAAAGATTGCCTTAAAGAATCAATATACAAATGAAATATTAGTCTATAACTGGGAGACTCTAGCTGAAGACCGGGTTTCTTAGAGATTTGTAATAGCTGACGTCGTCAAAATCTTCCATGAGGCATCACAAAAATATCCGTGAATTGCTATGATGTACCAACCCGCCCATGTGCCCAATGCAATCGGATATGTCTGCCCAGGGCGGGTTTACTCTGTCACCAACGGCCACATCAAAACCAACTCTCTATTGTACATGACGATTTCATAATGGCATGCTTTCAATGCCCGACCTGCTCTAAGGTGTGCAAGTCTTGATCGGGCCTGACATGGCATATGAAAGGGTACATTGGAAGTGATGATGATCAAAGTCTCCTTCCACCTCCCGGAAAGGATTTGATATCCCACATATGTGACAAGAAATGCAGATAGTTAGGTGGCTTTATGAGTCACTGTCGTTCATACCACCGATGAATGCAGTGTGGTCAAGAGTGGGGTTAAATGCACTGCCGGACATGTCAGTCATGTTCATACTCATTCGTTATATAGCTACCATATATATATATATATATATATATATATATATATATATATATATATATATATATACAGTGAGGTGGAGGGAAAGGCAGAGATGATTGAGGAGAGCGACGGAAAGTCAGGTATGTGTCTCACTGCGCCTTCTTGGACTCACGGTTAAAGTGTGTTAAAGTGACTTAAGGTGTAACAACTACATTAAACCATTAGCTGCATCTACTGCAAGGAATGTTGGTTCACTGTGTCGTGCCAAATGATTTTTCTCGTCAGAGTCCGTCTTACACGTCTACAAATTTACCATTCGCCCATTAATTGAATACTGTTGCCATATCTGGTCTGGTACCCCTGCTGTTCATTTCAATGTCCTCGACAAAATTCAAAGAAGGATCTGCAATGTAATCGACCCTGAATTTCCATCTCGACTCCGGTTACTTTCTCACAGATATGATGTGACTTCTCTCTGTCTTTTCTCCAAATATTTTCCTGGCTCCTGTTCGGTCGAGCCTTTTTCCCTGGTGCCCCGACTACGTAAATTTAATCATGGAACTAGATTAGCAAATAGGTCGCACAATTTTACCGTTGAAATAGTAAAATGTAACCGCCACTTCTACAACAGCTTCTTTACTCTCACTTACCGCCAGTCGAACTCCCTTCCATTTAATCGCTTCCCAATTACGACAATCTCCAAAAATTTAAAGGGAACGTCAATCGCCATGTCTTGAACCCTGTTAATCTTTTATCCTTTTCTCATTCCCCTATACACATTTTTCTCTCCCTGTCAATTTATGTAAACCCTGCGAACTAGTGACACTCCCGCCTTGCTTGGGGTGAAATGCTTAAAAAAAAAAGAGGAAGAGATGGAATATGAAGTCGAGAGAGGTTGAATGGGGAAGCGATAGAGGAAAGCAATCAGAGTGAGTAAGAATTAGGGATATACGAAAATCAGACAGGACACCTCGAGGCGGTGTAATGGTTAAGCAAGCTTGGCTCGCTAGAACAATTACCACTGAGTAGTGAGTTCGATCATCACAGGGTGCCCCCAATTTCGGCCTTGTGCCACATCTAAGCTACGCTTGGAAAATCACTATAAAGGTAATTAGGCACCTCGAGGTGGTGTAATGGTTAAGCAAGCTTGTCTCGTTAGATCAATTACGAATGAGTAATGAGTTTGATCCTCACTGGGTGCCCCTTACTTTCGGCCTTGTACCACTACGCTTGGAAAACCATTACGAGAGTCACAGACAAAAATTGAGAGGGAGTGAATAAAAAAAAGTGTAAGAAAGGTGAGAGTGTGGTGTGAGCGAGAGAGAGAGAGAGAGAGAGAGAGAGAGAGGTGCCCTATTGCTTGAATTCATCCAAAAGTACATCTGCATGTCGAATTTGCTGGAAAAAACATATAAGTAATTATATTAAAATTATATAAGTAATATATAAGTAATTATATTAAAATTATATAAGTAATATATAAGTAATTATATTAAAATTATATAAGTAATAAGTAATTATATTAAAATTATATAAGTAATTATATTAAAATTATATAAGTAATAAGTAATTATATTAAAATTATATAAGTAATATATAAGTAATTATATTAAAATTATAGCACATCTAGAATTCATCTTTGAAATATTAAATCGGGACAACGATTTCAACAAAACATTTATATAAATTCATAAAAATTATGTTTAATATGATGAAGCAAAAATATTCAATTCTCTACACTATGTACAAGGAAACAATTAAATATCAAAGGTGAAAAGTATCTCTTGCCAGACATCAAATATTCAGCATTCACTGACGGACCAGTTAGCTTAACGTTCGGTTGGAATTTATCAACTATTTTTCTTGAAACAGTTTTTAAGAAAAACTGGATCTCCCAAGTCCAACAGCAGTTGTCGCCCTTTCTAATAATGATGGAAGTTTTCTTGCCAAACTTTTCGTAGAATAGAAGACTAACATCTTGAGCATGTTGCTATTATTTTCCTCATCTAGTTACCTAATTTTGTCCATGATTTTGGAAGTCTTCACATAATGTGGATCTTATTTGTCAAAGTTTTTGTTAATCTATACGGAGAGTCTCTAGAGTTTGAACCTGATTTCTTTTTTAATCATTTCGTCTCACTCAATGCAATAAAGCCACTAAGACGCAAGGGTGTTACTGTGTTAGAGGAGAATATGAGAATTTCTTAATGAGAGCGAAAAGAACAAGAATTAAATAAAAAAAACAGTAGATAACACTTGATATTGCAGTTAAAGTTTTGAAGATCAAAGTTAATTGAGAAGTAGTAAGCCATAAGAGAGTTCCATAAGTGGGACGTGCAATAGAAGAAACTGTTAGCATAGAACTTACGGTTACCTCTATCAGCTTTAATTGTTAAATGATGAGTTCTTTCCACCAATCTAGTACTGCATTTAAATTTTTAAAGTATAGGGACCTTAGCGAAAAGTTCATCCGAAAAATTATATCAGGATTTAATAGAAAAGGCACGGGGAACATGCGATACGGCGGTGAGAATGTGACTGAAGCCGAGATTCCTGGTCAGGACCAATAACATTTCAGATTCTTCTTTGGAAGTTATCAAGAATCTCTAAATATATAGCAGGAGCATCATAGTAGATATGGCAACAATATTCAAAACATAGACTTATGATAGATATATTAATATGTAAGACAGATTCCGGCACCACAGCGAGTCCGGTTTCCTAGCGGAAGACTGTGCGATCGATCCAATATAATATTTCAAATTCATGTCAGCGGAAAAGGTTTGTTCGAGAAGGCGCAATGTCTGATTATCCTGATGCATGGTAAAAATGGTTCTCTCAGACAAGTAATAAAGAGCTGTTTCGTCTTGTTGGTGTTAAGCTTAACAAGTCATTTCTTCCTTCAGTTAACAACGGATCTTAGATATTTTTTTTAGATCAGCTGCAAATTTGACCTCATCGATTACATTTAAATAAATTTAAAAAAAATTAAAGGATTAATTCAGTTGGAGAATTTTTTTTTTATAATTTATCTGACGAAAGGTATATACAGATGACAATATCGACATTTCTGAACGAGGCAGATACCAGAAATAGCATCCATGTTGATAGGTTCTCTATGTCGGGGCTATTTACGAAAATCATTCTCAAGATTTTAGGGGATAGCCTTTTCTTTTGAAATGACAGCCTCAAGCTGAATCCAGTAAGTAGCCGTTAACCGCCAACATTACTCTGATTGTATTCAGGCCTTCTCTTCATGGCCGACATTATTCGTTCAAATTACTAGACTCACGAAGCTGGGCATAAATAATCAATCTGCTTTAGATTAGGGGAACCTCTGTGCTACTAGAAATATTTCTCGCCATCATTTTCAATGACTGTGTGTTCTAAAAATCGCGCAACAATTACCAGAAACATACACTTGTGAAATAGCAACCGGAGAAAATTTGCATGGCTTCATCTTCCATAATTTGACCAATAAAATATATTGTCACATAGAGAAACATGGTACCATTTGGTAAGTATAAATAAAATTTACAAGGTTATAAATAGTAATGCGAGTTTTGGAACACCCTGCATACTTGCTTGAATTGGTGTTAAGCTTTCAATCACTCTTCTGCGAAAACACTCAGATACACTTCCCTTTTGTTCTATATTATATTTCATTGTGTCACTGAACATAGCCCATTTTATTATTCATTATATCACTGGAAATAACACTAATTCGTTTTTATGGCTTTAAAATAAGACATAAAAAACGAATAAGTGTTATATTTTCTTGCCTTAAATAAGCCAGAAAATATTTTTTAGATTGTAAGAATTTTGGTGCGGAGGTAAAAATGATTTACTGATACAACTCTTATTATTTAACTCATAGAAGATGTGGGAAGAAGAAGCGAATTGATATCTTCACCAAGGCTATTTTTAATATAACGAAGCCAACAGGAATTGGAACTCTGCTATCTGATTAAAAATTTCTATCCATTATCCCACCTGCACATCCAAGCAGTATCCACCTGCGGCCAACCATCTAAGTACAGACCAGGTTCAACATTGCTTAACTTTGGTGATTGTACCAGAACCGGTGTTTTCAACTTGATGTGGCTGTAAGCTACTTATTCCTCTGATTATGGAATAAATACAGCTCCACACATTTATTTGCCGCCTCTGTGTTTTACCGTTGAAACAATGATTTGTTCGTTGAATTTGTCAGTCTTCTTCCTATCGTGACATTGTAAACTAAGACTAAAAATTCTTTGTTTTATTCAACTAGTGAATAGTATTCCACTAGGTATCCGATTTACGTAAATGCTCATTAGTAGACTTACAACGAGCCTTCAAGCATGAGTTTCTCAAAAGCCGTAATTCTCTCGCTCTGTATGACCCCCCACAAACCATGATGGTGGATTTGTAAACGCTTGAGGAGATGAATCATGTAGCAATTCTTTGCAAGGAATCCTTGGCAACATGTCAAATCTTGTTACAAATCCTGCCGGCAGCGCGGAAGGAAATCTCTCGAGCGGTACAAATAGAGGGTAGTTATATGTCAAACTACGTTCAATTAACTGCAAACGATCGAATTAAAAAGGGAAGTTCTTGCTCTTTGCCACTGACTCTATAACAACATCGTTTATGAAAAAGGCTAACTAAGATATCTCAGAAATCTGTGGAAGTCCTTCAATTGCTAATGGTCACGTTCAAGCTATTTCAAAGATCAGGAAAAGGGTCGGAATCAAAGGAAATATATAAAAAGAATGTGTTTTCATTGGTCCTCAACGAAAGTTCGCTGTCAAGTGAAATATCGCACTAGAGACCCAAGAATTTGTGTAGCTTTGGGGGTACATTTCGTGAATTTTGTTATTTCTGTGTTAAATAATTTCGATATTAGAAACATTTTAATATACTTTTGATACATACATATATATATATATATATATATATATATATATATATATATATATATATAAATAAAAAACAGACCACTTTAAGGTTCCATGTAATAAATTATTTTTTTGTTTGGAACTAAAGTCTGATGATCCGCAGTCCGTTAAAGGGCTGTGGTGAAATAATTTCTTACATGGAACCTTAATGTGGTCTGTTTTTATTTAAATTATTTGCTCTGGATTTACATTGAGCTCTCTGGATTTTAGCCTCCTTAGGTTTACCCATACGGATTACCTGGTTTTCATAAACTATATATATATATATATATATATATATATATATATATATATATTTATATTAATTGATTTAAAAAATATTTAATTTTTCAATTAAATTAAAACATTAGTTATTTATCCTCATGCGAATTTTTAAAAATAGAATACAATTAAATACCCTGAATTTAATTTTTATATATATAAATTAAACTTTATTAGTTCCATTTCATCCTATATAAGCGAATTTTGCACTCCAAATTTCTTTTTGGAATTATTGTATATATAATATATATATATACCCTTTATTATGATATTACTTTACTATGTATATATATATATATATATATATATATATATATATATATATATATATATATATATATATATATATATATATATATTTATATATATATATCATATTTTACGTAGCCCTCATTATATATATATATATATATATATATATATATATATATATATATATATATATTACTTTTTGATAGATATATATATAATACTTGAGTAACTACGGACTATAAATATATTATATATATATATATATATATATACTTTACTATATATATATATATTTATTTAAGACAGGCCACATTATTTACATTTATGAAATATTATATATATATATATTACAGGTTGTTAATTTTTTTCTTTACTATATATATATGTATGTATATATATATATGGGTGTGGAAAAAGTTGACCAAATTGAAAAAAAAAATAATAATCGCGAATGACCGACATTTTTATTTTATGAAAGAATAATTTATTTTATTTATATATATATATATATACGGAATTGATATTGGACACATTGTCCTCAATCTTTCATCAGATTAAGAAAGTTTTACGGACGTGGATCCTTTCTCAAGACTAATTATATATATATATATATATATATATATTATTTATTATATGGTTCATCCAACACAAGGCACAGGTGCCAATAAAGGTATACGGGTCATTGAATGAGGTTGAGCACTTTATTAGCAAAATTAATAAGAGGAGTAGAAGTCAATTAAAGAAGTGCAGAGATTAGAAAGAGGTTTGAGTTGCAGTTCACCTCGGACGACAGAAGAATCCTCGAAAAAGTGTCATATAGGGAAAAAAATGAGTAACTACGGACAGCTACTGCATCTTCCACTGAATCTGGATTTAGGAAATCTTCCATACATTTTCCGTCAATGATATAAATAGCGGTGTCAGGCTAATTGACT